TAACCCCAAATTAGTATATATATATCCATTTTTTCTTTTTCGTTTACTCAGCGGTGAATCATTTGTGGTACAGTGTACCTTTCAGTATCAATGCATTGTTATCTAGTCTTTGAATGGCATTTTGAAAGATCATCTATAACCAGATGAAAGAGTAATTAGGAACATCCTCCGAAACATTGCGTTTCATATATCAATGACATTCATAAATTTCTCGCCTCCAAGTGTTAATTAGTTAAAAATTGAAGGTAATAATATTTGATTCCGGTGGGTTTTTTATATCTGCTTGATTGTCCACGTCGAACTGCGGGCAGATTTTGAATTACCCGATGCCGAAAGAGCCAACGAAATTGTTGATCGGGTGGCCTCAAAGTGTGACCTTGAACCTGGCATTGAATCTCATCTTTTGACCACAGATGGCCAGGCCAACACTCGATTTTGTATATGCCTAGAATATTGTTAGAAGTACTATGTAATAAAGTTCATCTATCTGTCGGTCTATATACATATATAGTCGATATCATCTTGATTCCGGGACCGGTAGGGGTAACCAAGTGGTTAAAGCGTTCGCTAGTCACGCTGAAGACCCGGGTTCGATTCCCCACATGGGTACAATGTGTGAAGCCCATTTCTGGTGTCCCCCGCATTGATATTGCTGGAATATTGCTGAAAGCGGCTTAAAAGTAAACTCACTCATTCACTCTTGATTCCGAGACGTTAATGAGGACTGAATTGTCAATATAGCCGTAATGGGTAGAAGTATCGATGCTACACATATAGTCAGTCATACAAGACATCAAACAAGTATTCCGTTACAATCCCTGGAAGAACACGTGCTTGTACGTGGTGACAGATGGGTTGATGGAGTCGTGAGCTGGTTCTCCAGGCTGATGCATGTCAACCAAGTTCGAAATCGATGTTCATACTATCAATCACTGGATTGCCGCTCGATTAAATCCCAAAGCTCTGACATAGAAGTGGGTTCGGTTGAGTGCGGATTTAACTAAATCACCAGACAAAAAAGAAATAGGTTGCTACATATCCCCGACGTGACTAACATCAGGTTCAAACGAACCAAAGTCTCTTTGAAACCCATATCCTAATCAGGTGCACTGTTCACCGACCAGGTATGTTCTGTTATCTGGATAACACAGACATGCAGGATATTTATTGTGAGCGCGTATTCATAAAACCGTTCCGAAGGTCATACAAGAACGAATTAAGTGACGTTCTGGTTTATATATAGTTCCGACAAGAGTAAAGGCAATTTGAGTGGATACTTTTCTGTCAGTAGACTCTAAAAATATGTTGTGATATATGGGCTACCGAAACAAGGGTTATAAACTGAGTGTATGCCGCCTGATGAAGGATATTATTTTTCTAGAATTTCCCTAGCTCATCGCTTTTCTTTCAGACAACAGATTCAAATTAATCATTCAAGTTTGCCAAACTAATATATATGTGCAATTAAGTCATCCTCTCGTGGTTCTATGCCGTGATGTATCCAGGATACCGTTCAGCACGGCGTTAAACCCAACTCACTCACTCACTCACTGCTGTTGTTCCTTTGTTCGATTGATTCGGTAATGGTTTTAGGTCGCGTTGGGCAATATTCCAGGAACATCACGGCGGTGGATACCACAAATGGGTTAAACCCATTGTACCTATGAGGGAATCGAACCTGGGCCTAAGGCGCTACGAGCGAACGTTTTAACCACATGGCTACCCCACCACCCACCCCTTTGTTCGAGATAAACGGAAATTAAGGTACGTTTTGATAGGTCCGTAGTAAAGGGAGGACCGTGGTAAATTGTTAAGATTCCTAACTTGGACATTCATATCAAAGGAATCGATCCACAAAAACAAATGATACAAAACAGAAAGCTGTGGATGAGATGAACACATTTGATATATGTCCTAATATGTCTTCATTGTCCCTTGCCCTCGATTTAGTATAGCAAATGCATTCCTGCAGAAATATTTAGTGGAACAGACACAATTAGGCAGTCACGTGTATTTACATAAATCTAAAGAAATATGCATTTGTGTTGAAGCATTAGGCCCTGGACACATAAAATTCCCGATAGTTCACGCGCTATTATTCTCATTTAGTGAACCGACATATTTGTACCGGAGTCACTCTCTTGTCGCTGAATGTTGTGATAAGTGAGTGAGTGAGCGAGTGTAGTTTTATTCCAGCAATATCATGGCGGGAGACACTAGAAATGGGCTTCACCCATCGATCGAACACTTTAACCACTAGGCTATCCCACCGCCCTTTAGATTTGATTTCATTTGGCAGTCATGTAGCTTAATGTCCACCATAGTACAGTGACCCTGTATATAAAGAGTTCAGATACCTACCAAGTGAGTAGTTCTATTACATGTACTAATGCTTAATACGGATCCTCTGGCTCACTGATTCCTGCTTTCAGTCGAAGTCGACGTTGGCGCCGATCCACAGTTGTAAGATATGTCTGTGTTACTGAGCTATATTTAAGATAATTTTGGTTGTAAATTTACAGTTTTAAATAAAAATATGTTAGCACAAGCTTTTAATTCTAAAACATCCGTATGCTTTAATCTTGAAATTGAGATAATTTTTGGAAAATATATTTCAACACAGTGGGAAGCAGAATGTAGTCGTGCAAGTTTAGGCATAGTGAGATTAAAATATAACACTATCGCAACCTTTTTGCCCCTTCGTATGCTGTGTTGGTGCGATTCGACCTGGTTCCAAGTTGATATTATACCGTAAACCTGTTCATAGGTGACGAAGTCCTGCTTTTACAACAATCATAACAAATCAGCAATGTTCTTACAATAAATATCGTTTCCACGAAGACAGTCACTGCAGTTGTTCCTCAGTTGCCTTGCTGTTCCTTTGGCAACGATAACACAAGGTGAAGGTGAAACAATATGAAGGTGGAAGGTCAAGGTGAACTGATCAGCCCAGTAATATGGGTATAATATCTGTCCTTAGCTTTTCTCAGTAACATATTCATTGGAACAATCACTTTGATGATGAAGTCTGTATGATTATACTGTAACAAGGATTTACGTTAATTTCTGCTCTTCACTGAGCTCCTTGGTGCGACAATGCACTCCCTACGTTCTTCACACCAGAGAGTTAAACATGTATCACTTTGATGACGTTTGTTATGACGTTCTCTGATAAAACGTAGGTGACGACTGATTCGCAATATCATAAAAAAGCCAATATCTTTCATTTAGGGGGAAATGTTTGTTAACTCGTTCTAAATAAAAATGTGCAAGCTCCAGCTACGTTCAGTTCATCTATAGACGGGCCCCAGTTTCCCTCCTTACACCATCTCTATCTAACACAACAGTAAATGCTTTGTCTACTCAAGACAATCTGCGCTATATGAATTGCAGTAAACAACAAAGAAATAAAAGTGACAAGACTTCTCCCATCAGCATAATAAATGTCAGCGAAAGGCAACCCATTAACAAGGCTTGTTACAGATACAAATAATGTGTCATTGAATGTCAAAGCTCTAGTCTGTATCACAGTCCCTGAACCTCATTATCTCCCCTTCCGCCCAGCCCTTTAAGCAATGCTAAAGCCCTAAATTCTAAAGTCTGCATTTCATCACATCCCATTTCACGAAGGCTCCTTTTCGACTCCTTTTCGATTTGAAAGGAATTATTGTATATATTCAAAGACTAAGCGTCAGTCTACCAAAGCCCAAGACCATTATAAAATGGTGAATTATGTTGGGTTCGTAGGTTATAGGTCATAGGTGTTTCTTGTTCAATTTCACTCGTAGTGTTACTGCAAGGGTTTATATGATGTTTTAGAGAGAGAGGGAGAGTATGGATTTACACCGATGTTTTGCAATATTCCAGCAATATCACGGGTTGACTACGGACATGGGCCTCACACACATTGTAGCCATTTATGGATTGTATGATGTATCATAGACAACCTGTCACGGACGGAACGTAACCAAACAGTACTTGTGTTATTGTATTGTTATTTGTATTGTTTATTAACATCTCTTTTGACTCGTGAAGATGTGGGTTAGAATCGGTCAGCGGCAGCCCGTCGCTGTGCCGTCGTTGATTGTGACCATATGATAAAACACCAAGGGGTTGCATCATACTCGTCCAGAACGTCATATCTCCCATCCATTATAACAAGTACCGATTCACTATCACAGTTTCCTGTTTGTCCGGTCTGGATGACAAGCAGTTAACATTAGTTGTCCCTTGAAGTTACCCTGATTTTCCATTATTGACCCTAGCGACGGTATCACCACTACACCACACTTGGTACGTCCGTCACCAAACAAAAGCCGTGAAACTCTGATAAGGAAAAACCTATTTCCAGCTACCATATCATTTATTATGGTTTTCCGATTAAATATGTCAAAGGTTTGCTTGTACTTTGAGGATGCAGTTTTAAAGTTACATTCTCGATAGAAAAATATATTGCTGATGTTAACCCAGTAGTTAGAGGTATCCTGTTTGAAATATATAAACGACGCTTCCTGGAAAATGGATCCAGGGTTTATATCCAAATACGTCTCCGAATGGAAAATGTAGCTGGGTAAGTGGGGATGGTGCTGTACGTTCATCGAGTGAGTGAGTGAATGAGTGAGTTTAGATGTACGCCACGTTTAGCAATTTTCCAGCAATATCACGGCGGGAGACACCAGAATTGGCTTCACAGATTGTCCGCATGTCGGGAATCGAACACAGGTTTTAGGCCTGACGATTGAACGCAATAACCACTAGGCAACCCCACTGCACTTTAGATATGATTTCATTTGATAATCATGTGGTGAGTAAGTGAGGCATATTGCCACGTGCACAGTAACAACGCGCCGTGTCAATTTGAAATGGGAAGATATCCCGGAGTAACGAAGCTTTAACACTGACAACTTATCTATCCAGTGTTCATTTGCACCAAGCTCCACGTACTGCTGGAACATGTATATTTATTACTAAAGACATCCAATAAAACAAAACCATAGGAGTGTCATTTATGTGTTTATTGAAAACATGTTCTACAAATAAAATGACCGTTCTAGAGTGACCTTTATGAGGATGCTATTTTATATACATAAATAACGTTTCACATGATCGGACGAAACACCAAATGAAATGAACAATGCCGTCTTAAATAATATGTACTGGACACATGTGGCTATTATGACAGACAACTCTGACAAAACATCAAAGATTTGTTCAATGAGACAAAAAGACATGTAAATATCAGATCTGTGGATTTCATGAAATTAACACCAGTCAGAATACATTTACTTTTCACTTTGTATTTTTGTTATTGACAATATGTCAAATGTTTCTCAAACGAAACAAACGTTTTGATCCAAGATATTGCTCTTTTAACCGAACAGCTTATCCACACTGATCTTTTTCAAACAGTTATAGACAAACGCCGCACTAATGATTTTCCGCCTGTCCGGATAAGTGAGTTTTCGGACTAGGAAAATGTATCGAATCCTTGCGGTAACCGTTCAAAACTGTACGAATATGGATGAACGAGGGTCATTTACCTTATCAGTTCATTCTGTTTTTAATTAATAGCATGGTATTTATTCTTAAGGGAAATTTATTTTTAATACTGATTCTTTTCCAGATCCAGTCTCCATAATAGGCTTTATGTTCATGCAGGGAACCCTCGTTTATCCATACGACAGCAGTACACGACATAAAACGTATCAAATATCACAGAAACTTTGCTGAAACTGACAACACTTTTTGGTCAACAGTGTGAAATTAAACTTAATAAGTAGCCGGTGTTATTTTAGAATATTCTTATCACATTTGAACAAAGGTATCTGAAAGGGCCATCCTCAGTCGTAATGCCATGAAATGAATTCAAAGTTCAAAGTTCAGCTATAGCACCACAAATATTGACAAATGTGAAATGAACATGAATAGTTCCCCATTGCAGTGGGAACAGACTTCGTGGGTCGATGCTATCAACAACTGTCTCTCACGCTGTCATTGGTCATCTCCCAGACTCCCCGGAATAAATAGATGACTTTACGAAGTAGATGATGGCGGACAGCGGACAGTCCCTGTCCATCTTGGTCGTCACTGATTATACTGACTTCTGTATGTATATTAGGATGAACACAGTCTTCAGTTTTTGAACAGAGATATTGACGAATATCATATTAATCTCGTAACAAGGAGGTAAGTCTTATCCAACACTTTCATGATGCTTCCATAAAGCTATCTCCGATGCCATTGGCTGGCAGGCAAGCTTCTGTAAGGCGACTCCCGATTGGTTTAAATTTACAGCCACCTTGAGAAACTGATGGACGAAGTGTGAGGTGACCGCTGCGACTGCGCAGACCAGTTGGGCCTTTTGAGCATCATCAACAGAAACTGACAGGTCTGGGATGACTGGTTTCATTCTGAAAAAAAATATATAAAAATATAAGATTATTTTGATAAAATGCATGTTGCAAATTAACTGACATGGAATATGTCTGTTTATACTACCAGACGCCCGGAACATCGCCAGAAGTGAAAACTCGTAACTTGTGAAAAGAAGACAAACATGTGTTTCCTCTGCTGCATGATAGATACATGTATTCCGTTTCCTGACAGAAATGTACATGAAACTGACATGGGCGTCTGGACTGTGCATGTGGCATGTATATATCACACGGCTTTGTACTTTCACCTCTTGAAACTAAACCGCACCAGTACAGTGTCCCAGTTACATGCACCAGGGACGCTTTGAGAAAAGGACTTGACTATTATGCAAACAAATCTGACCCAAATATTTCCAACAACATGCACTACCGTATATTTCAGTACACCCTCCGTGCTGAAACATGTACGTGATGGAACACATTGCCTACATGGGCATGTTTCATAAATATGTCAACGGCTTGTCATATTTGACCTACACTTTAACTGAGATAAATTACTGTTTGTATGACGTGTGTTCTGTCGACATGTACATTATCAGACACATTGATCCAAAAGCTGAACTTGTTCACACAAATTCGTCTCACACACAATGACCCGGACAGTCTGCTTATGACATTGTGCTCACAGTTACAAAACACCAACCATATAAGGGGGACATGTTATAATCATGAGGCACCGAAAATAACATATTTGATAAATTGGCTTGGGGTTATACCACAGTCATATATTGTGTACATTTAGTTATCTTTTTCATCCCTTACCAATTCTAAACAGAATTGAGACAAATCTTGTGTCGATCAACATTGATAAATAAAACTATAATCGCCATCTGTATATCTAGATAAATGGACGTCGTTTAGCGCGCTACACATCTACAGTTAACTCTTCAAATTAACCAAACCCTGCCTGACTAAGCGGTAATACATTATCCCGCATGCCCCTAGACAAAACTTAGCTAAACCAGATCTAAATTCTCTCCCTGTTTCATATCTTATCACAAACAGCGGGGTGTCTCGACCATATATATTATACCCACTTGAATGCTCAATCTCTGGCCTGTCGTATAACCTTATCTGATTGGTCGGGGGGTAATTGTCTTCTATGACGTCCGCGCATGAACTGCTACGATTAACCATTTGAAAGAATATTTCTTATCATAACATACGCTTCAAATGGTAATTGCCGGGATGTAATAACCCACTTTGCTCGCATTGCATATATTTGGCATTATTGAAAGAATGTAATCCGTCATTTCCTTAACCGAAAGTCTTCGTCTTACTAATTACCCAAATATTTTGAAAGAAAAACATTATGCTGAAAATTTTGGCTTACACGACTCCAATGAAAACATAATCGAACTATCAATAAAACATCCAAATTCTATTCCAGACACATGGCCACACGCTGTACGCTTTCTTAAACCTGGTGGCGCAGATGCGTTTGTTAAATAGCCAAAGAAAACAAGAGGTACCCACCCAAACATTGATGCTTGGAACATGTTGTGCGTTTTGGCGCCGCTGTTGACGTTCACGCTCTCTTCGGGTGATGGCCAGAACATCTTTACTGCTTCGTGTGTCGACTAAAACTGTGCCTGTGGAGAGAGATCCAACACATTAGTGACGGGCAGTATTCAACATAAGTGTTGCATCATCCGCAACGGTTCAATTGACAGCTCGGGTCGAACTACTTTTTACCCCACACATGCATACAGTAGATGTTCCACATAAACTGCCACAATCTGAACTGTTGGTAAGAAACATTATCGGAAACATGTATCAACGAAACAGACACATTAACACATTTTTTTGTTTCACTGACTGGGTTCTGAAGGGTAAAGAAGCACAAACTATAGAACTGCCTGACTCTCATATGACATGCGTGCTGCGATTTGTAAAACGACATGCCTCTGAAGACATACATGTAAAAGAAACATGTACCCTAGATATTTGCTTTTTTCAGCGAGAGAAAGCTATTCTTTTAGGCAGTTCGCATTTTTCAAATTGGAGTTTGGCCACGTTGCACAGTCTACCTCGGTCCCCAAAAATCACGCCACACTCACTCCATGTTTGTTAGTTCCATGTCGTCGACGCGACAAACATCTGTTGCAAATGTTTCAATGACAGACATTTTCTTCTACTTTTGTTTGTGTCGAATGAAGTATCGCTTACAATGATTTGTTCAGAAACGGTTCTCGACAAAACGTACAATATCATAGTGACATTATAACGTGAGTCTCTGAAACACACTGACACACGTCCCTCGACTATTTATAATGATTATTTTACAGTATGTTTCACGCATGTCATTAAATGCTTAAAGCAGGTCTGAGTCGCACACGAAAAACAATGTATTTCATTTTTTGCATGTTCTTTAGAAATCAGCACGCCGCATGTCGTTTTCACACAAAGGCCTGAAAACGTCTCAAACACAAGGTCAATTTCCTTGATAATGACCTAGAAACTGAGAAGCTCTTCAAAACGTGACAACGTGACATATTTCGATTGGTTTCTTAGTTGAAAGATATGACTGTACAAAACCGCATTGCACACTGCTGTTTAAACTGTTAATACAGTGGTGTTGGTTGCATGTCAATATCACTCTGATTGAAATGCACTCGGCTTGCAGGTCGTGCACGCGGTGTGGACAGCTGATGCACGAGACGTGCGGCATATCACTGTCGCTAAGTTCGCGGCTCCCATACTTACACTATATATATCAATCAATATGTACTGTTAACATTACATATATTAATCTCTCACCGGTCTTGTCTTAAATGTCTGCCAAGAAATTGAAATGAATGGTTCAATAAATGTCTCTCGCTTAAACAGACATTTTTTTTTATGCGCGAAACCTATTAGAAAGGGCCTCAGCAACAGAAAAATGATGGATCATAACTGACCCACCCCCACCCCTATTACTGAAACATCCCTCGTAACCGAACATTGGCAGACTGCAGCAAGTGCAATAGCCACCACTTGCTGTCAATCATCAGTTTGTTTTAACTTAGCCTTCGAGCTACATCATGCAGCCGGTGAAATGTACAACGCCTGTCACACTGTTGTTACAAACTCCCCCCTCTGAAATAAACTCCACTGCATTTCCGAGTTCCGCCAAACGTCAGATAGCATTACCCTGTCCATTCACTCGCTTGTCAGTGAGTTGAATTTAGACTACCAAGCCGCTCTGAAAATCTATTCTGTGCATATATACAGTTTCTCCAAATATACTCGGAAACCAAGGGCTCGCACCTGCACTGAATGTACCACCCACTGTAATAAATGTCACCTATTTCTGATATAGACATGATTGCCGGTGATATAGACGAATGCACTTCATATCGTTCAGATGCAGACATAGCATAAACACCACGTGGAGTGAAATAGACAAGCTCAAATGTCAATCACGTTCTTTAACGAGGCGTGTTATATAGTTGAATTGAAAGAACGAAATATATTACTTTTTCAGCTCAAAATGAAACTCCCAGCTTCAAACAAACAAATGAGGCGTTGAAATTACCAGTTAGATATCTTTCCGCATGTACGTCTGTGCTAACTTCAAAGTCATTGCAAAGTTAAACAGCGCTATCCATGGTGCAGCACGTAGCATAGACATTAAATCTACCGATAACCATATCACTTAGTAGGGCACACAGACAAGTCGATATATACCATTATAGACTCGTCAGGGCAATTAGATTAATTGACGATATTTTCAAAACTGAAGTAGTAAAGAAATTACTTTATCAATACACTCGCGGCTCAAGTTGTAAATCTGACACATCTCATCTCCTTGACGTTGAAAACAAACCATTGAATTGATAAAAAGGAAATCCTTTTGACTAGTCAGCTTAATGATTACTTGTCAATCAAACCCCTGCTTTCAGCAGACTAACTGGGCAACTTTTCACCTTATTGACTCTTGCTGTCTTTTGAAAATGTGAATTAAAGTAATGAAATAAAATAATGGTATAGCCCACATTTTACGAAAATATTAGATTTAAAACACGTGAAGATGGATGTTACCTTAAGCACGTCACTCCACAAAAGAAAAGTTTTATTTCTTAAATGAAATAAAAGCGAGAAAATCTTAATTTAAAAAAGAAAGAGAGTGAATGCATACTCACACAAAATATAAACTTCTGTTGTAATCCTTCAAAGATCTTCAAATCTGTAGTAAGTCCGAAGGCGCTTTTATGCTTTATCACAATAGGTTTAGAAAGTGTCTCAAACAAGCTTTCAAGGAACACTGACAAACCTGTCGGCTTACTGCCTTTATATACTGAGGCAAGGGGAAATCCTCGCCGGAGTAGGCGCGAACGAAGAAAACACGCGTTGAGATGGGATGGCCCTGGATTTGCTGTTAACCAATCAGCTTCAAGTAGAGCGGGCCGGCGAGGTTCGGCTTGAGATATGACGTCATGGTTTTACAGCGGGACCATGGCAAGAGGCACGTTCAATGTTGCGTTGCATCATGCGATGTGAAAATTTCTCAAGATGAGTTTTCTCCTGCCAGCTTTGCGTGGCTGTTATGTTTCGGCTGACCATTTGTTTATAGTTTTGAGACAGACGAAAACTGGCCGGACGAAGTTAAAAGGTGTTGATTAAAGCACCACGGTTTGAAAGATTTGTACCACTGACCTAATGAGCCTTTGAAGGTTGTTCTACTTTATTTTAAGTGTCGGGTCTCGGAAACTCATATTAAAACTTTTAATCGTTTCATAAGGGTGCTTGGAATAAAGTGTGCCTCCTTTTAAACTTTAAATCAAATATGAAACCGGCTTTGACTGGGACATAGTAGAGTTAGTGTTCTCAGATTCTGTGTGGCAACAAGTTTGATCGCTGGCGGTGACCGCTCACCACCGTACAGACAAAGTAGGTTATTGTTGTAAAGTTCGTATTATATATGTGTTTGTTTTAAAAAGAACTAATGTAAAGATCGACTCTTCATGTTCTTACGCGATCCTTTATCAAACTAGGCTTTGTTCTGATAGTCTGCAAATGATTCAAACATTATTTATTCCAACGTCGTTTTATAAACAGTTAAACTGAAGGGAGGGTTGCCAAGCGACACATATATACACTAAAACTTTAACTTGAATGTCCACCTCGTTACCTTAACGTCATTCAGGACAGTATATCATTTTAGTTTCTAATTGTATGGTCATGGTAGAATCCTTGTCGTATTATGTGTTTGTTTTAAAAAGAACTAATGTAAAGACCGACTCTTCATGTTCTTGCGCGATCCTTTATCAAACTAGGCTTTGTTCTGCTAGTCTGCAAATGATTCAAACATTATTTATTCCAACGTCGTTTTATAAACAGTTAAACTGAAGGGAGGGTTGCCAAGCGACACATATATACACTAAAACTTTACCTTGAATGTCCACCTCGTTACCTTAACGTCATTCAGGACAGTATATCATTTTAGTTTCTAATTGTATGGTCATGGTAGAATCCTTGTCTCCCGACCCAATCGACACATCGCTAGAGTCGAACTATAGACAACTCGATGTATTTTCGAGTAACCCCTTGAACTCTCTCTGTTTAAGTTTAAGTAAAAAGTCATGGTAAAAAGACAAGTCGGCTGTATTTTCACATATGAGTAAAAAATACTATTTGACATTTTATAATAACATGATTACCGATCAACGTTGTCACCAGACGTTCATATTCATATTCAAATGAATATATACACTCATATCTCCTAGACCTCTGTGAATATTCGGATTAAAATTGGTCTTAAGTAATTGGTGTCAGTCAAGTGATGAGCAAGACCGACTCCGCGTCAGTATATGCTTGTGATACAATTGGGGGCTGGTGGTGGAAGGAGTTAAGGTCAACGCCGCTTTGAGTGAGTGAGTTTAGTTTTACGCCGCTTTTAGCAATATTCCAGCAATATTACGGCAGGGGACACCAGAAATGGGCTTCACACATTGTACCCAGGTGGGGAATCGAACCCGGGCCTTCGGCGTGGCGAGCGAACGCTTTAACCACTAGGCTACCCCACTGCTCCTCCCCGCCACTTAGACCAGTACCTTGTAGATATATCAGGGCGTGTCTATGTGAGAGGAAACATGAAGTCTGAGGTGATGCTGGTCTCAACGTTTGCCCCCATTGTGACAGCAGCCCCCCTGCTCACAAACCTTGAAACCATAATGGGAACAGATTGGGATTCGAACACACGATCACGTTTCTGGCGTGTCCGTGGGAATCAACTCTGCACAACGACTGATCCACCCGTGCCTTCTCTAGTTGTGTTAGAGGGGGGTGGGGGCTAGTGGTGGAACGATCGAGTCGGAACCACCCCCCCCCCCCCCCCACACACACACAGATTCATTGTGCACTTCCAAAGGGATGGTTATGTCATACATGCAGTAAGTGCTCCCCACAACAGATCCGCACGTGCGTCTTTGACGTGAACTGTTTACACTTGCACATCATCCGATAGGAATTCTTTAGCTAGAGACATGAGTTTGAGTGTACTTGAGCAGTACATACAAACTCGTTCCTACATGTCTGCCCCAGACACGATGTTTTCAAGTTATCTAGTCTCAACTCAAACGTGAATGCACCGCCTGTTTCAGAAAACAACCAATTTTGTCCAACTCAAACAAAGATACCCTGATACATGCTCAAAACCTGAAGGAAACCTCAAATAAAAATGCATCATCATTCATAGAAAACAGCCTTATTGTTACCTAACTTCAATGATTCTTGTTAAGGTAAACTTTATGTGCCCATAGTTGATGTCCTTTCTACATTTACGTGCATTAAACTTGATTAACGTGAATACTCTCTTCGTAAATGACCCTTGGATGTTCCTGCTGCTATATTAACCACCAGGAGGTGAGGTGGCACACTTGCTGGTGTGTTTGCTCATAACAAATTAGGTCTGGGTTCATGTCACACGCCATGTTCTGTGAACTATTATGGCAAAGGCCAATTCTCCATATATCTAATATTCTCTCCTGAGAGCACTATGTGTCAGCATAAGTCAATTTGTGCCCACAAACAGATAGACTTTGTTATCACAAAACAGAAGGTACTTTTGATAAAATTTTACTTCTTTTTTAGTACCCTTGAATGTACAGTATGGGTCACTCCTCTCTTGACATAAAATCTCCCTTGGTGTTTACGACATACGAAAAGAAACACATCAAAACTTTAAGTGTTCACCAAGACCCTGACGTACTTGAACCTAGTACTAAAACGAGGTGTTCTTCAGAGCCGCTGGTATCGTGTTTCTTGCCCAAGGGGAACCATTGCTCTTCGTTTCTGTCTTGTAATCTGCAGTCTCCGGGGCAGTCTTCTACTTATTTAACAGTCCACTATTTGTCTGTAGGTATCGCAATTAACCCCGAGTTTAATTCCACAAGGGGCTAGTGATAGTGAACAGGATTAGGGATTCCGTCAAGGCTAGCAATTGTGAAGACGTAGCGATGAACCTACCAGAAGTGACGCGGAGGGAAGTACACACTATGGAATTATGGCAGTACGTGGAAACTATTAAAGTTTCCTATTTCATGATATGATTATTTGCTTGGTGATGGGTGACCTTTCAGTTAAGAATAACAAGAACGTAGGGCACCAGAGGCATCCTACAAGTGGATTATCAGACGAATGAGGCTAAGAGTTCGACAAATGGCGAACAGAAGGCGACTCAAACAGTGCAAGTACATGCGCTCGAAGGTGACGCGGCGGAATCAATTAGCAGACATTTAATCGATGGACAGGGACGGAAAATAGCACTAGCATCTACTAGAATATAAGAACAACTTGGTTGGGCAGAACACGTCACATAGGCGATCATAAAGAGAACATATAGTGCACATAGTAAACATATAAGTGAACTTGAAGGGGAAGACAATGGTCACAAGTAGCGGGAATATAGGCGAAGATAATGAGTAAGACAATGGTCACACGTAGCGGGAATATAGGCGAAGATAATGAGTAAGACAATGGTCACAAATAGCGGGAATATAGGCGAAGATAATGAGTAAGACAATGGTCACAAGTAGCGGGAATATAGGCGAAGATAATGAGTAAGACAATGGTCACAAATAGCGGGAATATAGGCGAAGATAATGAGTAAGACAATGGTCACAAGTAGCGGGAATATAGGCGAAGATAATGAGTAAGACAATGGTCACAAGTAGCGGGAATATAGGCGAAGATAATGAGTAAGACAATGGTCACAAGTAGCGGGAATATAGGCGAAGATAATGAGTAAGACAATGGTCACAAGTAGCGGGAATTTCGGACATAAAGATAAAGACATTGGAAACAAATATTGGCAGACTACAGTGAACACAAACACATTTTGTAGAGGGCTTGTAGATGGACATTACATGTATATATGTATTGAAATAGAACAATAGAACATCGTTTACTTTCAGGTACTATCCCCTAAGGTGTAATGCATAAACTGGAAACATAATTCAAAGCGTTTCTTTCACGTCAGAGGCTTTAACTCTGTGTAATTACAAACTGCTAGACATACACTGTGGATCAGAAACCCAAAGAACTGTACTGCGACTTTTAAAAAAAAATTCGGCTGCAAAAAGACTAACTTGACCAAGCCATATTAAGGTGATCTTGAACGTCCTTGAATATATATATATTTGAGATGACTCATGTCACGACGGAGAATTCAATGCCCACTTCGCTCAATGATCATCACAACCCTACAATCAAAACGCTTCAAAGTGAACTTGCATTTAACCTTGCACTTACAATTGTTAAGCCATATATCATATATATCCTGGAAGGGGTCACGTGCCTGTCGCACAGTGCACGGTGTCCTCTAATGATATACAATCGCCATACAGTCACATAAGGATCATGTATTTACTAAATAGTTAGCACATGTTTAGAGCTTGAAACATATATTTAGCCTGGCAACTGATAATACAGTTATTAATAACATCAACTTCATGTTTCGTTACACAACACAATAACTTGACCGAAGAGCATTGTAAAATGTCCATGTCATGCGGAAGACGTGATATTCTTCATCATATGAGACTTTCTAACGACTTCCAACAAGGTCAGAGTGAGTGAATTTAGTTTTCTGCCGATTTTAGCAATATTCCAGCAATATCACGGCGGGGGACACCAGAAATTGGCTTCACTGTACCCATGTGGGGAATCGAACCCGGGTCTTTTGCGTGAGGAGCGAACGCTTTAACCACTAGGCTACACCGCCACAAGGTCAGATTGAAGAGTCCGATGGTCTGACATTATTGTGACTACTTTTCAA